TAAACATTGATCAGCTGCCTCCTGCACACCCCCTACTGGGGATGTGCCTGCAACCGAGGTACATGCCCTTGACTGGAATTGAACCTGGGACTCTTCCGTATGCAGGCTGATGCCCGTATCCATTTAGCCAAACCGGTCAGAGCCCAGACTGTCCTTTTCTTCTGGGATTTATTTACCTTCTATAATTGAAACTTTGTAGCCTGGAGTGGAGCTCAGAGCTGGCCAGGACAGGCCTCCTGCTTGCTCCAGCTCCATGGCCACGGCCGGCTGAAAGCAGGTATCTTGAGTTTATTTATCTTCTATAATTGAAACTTTGTTGCTTTGAGTGGAGCTCAGAGCTGGCTGCGGCAGCTGGGAAGCTTGGCTTCCTTCATCATTGGGGCAACCAAGCCTCCTGCATGCTCCAGCTCCGTGGCTGCCGGCTGCCATCTTGGTTGGGTTAATTTGCATATAGTCCCCTGATTGGCTGGTGGGCACGGCTTAAGGCATAGAAAAGGTACAGTCAATTTGCACGTTTGTCTTTTATTAGTGTGGATGGCTGCCTCAAAATTTTTGTGGGTTTCCTATGTGCTTTATTCCATTCCACTCATGTACCAAAAGCAAGACAAGTCTTTCTGAGGTATGTTTAACTCTTTATGCTTAATTACCAGTACTTTTGCCATATCTGGCTGCTGTGAGATCATGCCCTTAGCATTCCTAGGAGCCTGTGCCAGGCCAAATTTTAAGATGGCCCTCTATGATCTATTACTCCTGTGACTCTGTTACCTTATATTGCAAAAGAGAGATCATTCAGGTAACCTAATCCTGAAAGCAGGCTTTCCTTTGACTAAGAACAAGGGGACGTCAGAGAGATGAAAAGGATGAGAATGATCTGACATGCTGTCGCTTGCTTTGAATACGGAGGGCACTATGTGCAAGGACCAGAGTGGCTGGCAGAAGCTGAGAGTGACCCTGGCCAACCCACAAAGAGGGTCTCCCAAATATTACCTGCTAGACCGACAAAGAGCGAACCACCTGGAAACTTACTTTATTCATCCCACAACGACCATATGCAGTAGTAACAGCATATGGAAATAGCTATTGGGAAATAACGTTAAAGCAACATTTACTGAGCCCTTGCTGTGTGCCACCTCTGATGAGGGCTGTAAAGAAATAGAGGGCTAATACTTGCCCCGAGGGTCTGTTGTCTCGTGGAGGTGCATGGGCAGCACGTTGAAGAATGGGTTCTTTCAGTGTTCTCCTCCAAGGGCACACCTGGTGCCAGGTGGGGGTGAGGAAACTGCTGAGCCAGGCCAACACTAAGTCCCGAAAAGCGAGATGTAGACCTGACCACAACCCAAGGCAGAGTAAAACCTACCCTGTGGACTGCAGTCGGCGAGGTCGGGGAGGGCGGTCAGGGGAACAGGACCACTACCATCAGCAATGGGATGCCGCAGTTCTCAACCAGCCTCGGGGGAAAGCCACTGCCCTAGGCGGCCTTGGTCCAGCTGACATCCAGACACTGGGTGAGCCACCTACCTGCTCCAGGCGTTAAATTTCAAAAGGCACCAACTTAATTGGCTTATTTTTGAATCAGCACGTTAAGGATCTAGGCCATTGCACCGTAAACACCCTCCTAAGCTGTTCCATTACCCTAACGCAGAGAAGCCGAGGTTAAAATTCAAGATCTTGGGGAGCCGGATCGTGATGGGAGGACCAGCGTGCACGTGCCAGTGGAGGTCCCTGAGTTCCCACCGGCGGCGTGGCCGTAAAGGAGCTCCGGCGTGTCGTAAAAGCGCCGCACGCCAGCAGCGCCCTGGCAGACGGCGGGGAAGCCATCTTGGACGCCGTCTCCGCTGCGAAAGTTGGGAGAACCTGTTGCTCGTCACAG